CACAGAGAGAGAGAGAGAGAGAGAGAGAGAGAGAGAGAGAGAGAGAGAGAGAGAGGGGCATAGAATTAACAACGCCACGCACCATAACCCAGAAGCACAGAATTGAGGGAGGCAAAGAGCGCGCAGGCGACGACATATTTCTGGGTGGTGTTGGAATTCTTGATCTCTCGTTGACGACGGGACTCGGCGCCGGCGCCGGCGCCGTCGTCTTCCTCCGCGAGATCGGAGTCCATTCTTCTGTATCTGTTCCCCTTCTCCTCCGCCATATCGAGACCCCCGTCTTCCTCACCAGCCCCGACTCCCATCTCTCTCTCTCTCTCGCTCTCTCTCTCTCTCCGTCTCCTTCAAACGTTGATCATTCCTCGTCTGATTTTGTCCTTCTTGGTCGTGTTTCTCTCTCCTCCACTTTCTTCGGAAGCGTGGGAGAGACAGAGAGAGACAGAGACAGAGACACAGATTTGGCACGAAAGTTCAGATTCAGACAGGACAGCTATCAACATGAATTTTTGTCTCGTGGAAACGTTTGTTTCAATTCTATATTTCGTACAGAAAAAAAGTCATTATAAATAAAGGAAATTCCCTAAGAGTTTGACCACGGCCGTTAATTTATTCCGCGTCATATCCAATTTTATATTTCGTACAAATAAGGATTAATACCATAAAAAAAAATCCTATACCGAGCCACCTCAAACTCATATATTTATGATAAATTTATCCTCCATTAATTTTCGTTAAATTTACCATCAAATTGATGAATTGGACAATACGTGGCAGTTGACGGGTTTTATCCTCCGTTTGTCGTAGGTGTACCGATTTGTGGTATTTCGTAGTATTAATTCTGTTTAACGGAAGCTAACGTAGGGTAAATTTGTCATAAGTGTACTAGTTTTGGATTTTTGGTATTCAAAAAATTAGTTTTGGTAAATTTATTAAAGGTGTACCGATTTGCGGTTTTTGGTGGTCAAAAATAGTTTTGGGTAAATTTGTCACAGGTATACCGGTTTGGATTTTTTGTGGTATTAATCCTACAAAGAATTTTATTGCGCTACATTTAAATTTTTTTTAATTAATTACTATTTTGTTTTATGTGGTGTAACACTATGTGAAAATTACGATAAACATTTTTAAGCATGATAAAATCACAACGACGACGGATCATAATGACCTTGCTTAGTGAAGATTTGATTTTCCTTTTTCTAATCAAAAGTAATCTCCTTTCATGGAAAGAAATAAATAGGTGAAATGATATTAATAATCCCTCAATTTTCACTCGAAATTCAAAACCGTCCCTCTAATTATGTATTTTTTGTTTTAAATGGTACATGTGCTTTTTAGAAAGTGCCACTATTCATCTGTTCCGGTGATGAATTTTTCTGATATGAATTTGACGCGGCTTAATAATCTTGCGTAAATCTCTCTCTTTTTTAAAAAAAAAGGATGACCTAATTTCTGCAGAACTTTTATAGCAATGAAGTTGATTTCTGAAGCAGAGAAATGGCCGCTTGTGAGTCCGCCTCCACGTTAAGTTTGGTAATGCCAATATAAATTGCCAATTTGAGGCCCAAGAAAATGCTTGCTCTGAGTGAAAAGCACAGTCCCACTATCTCCGCAAATCCATAGCCAATCCCAATTGCCTGAGTTATCACAAATAATCCACCTTCTGAAGCTAGACCTGGGCTGCCTTTAGAGGCCCTGTCGGAATTGAGTTTGACCCAACCAAAAGAAGGGGGTCCAACGCACAAACTTATCTCTTTTCTCCCAAACTATATTATACTAATCGAGCGGATATAATATCATTAGCATATCCTAAGATCATATTTATAGGAGTAACTAGAAAGGAAAAGTCTGCCTGGAATAATCTTTGATTCCTCCAATTCCACAAATGCCAACAAGTTACACCAAATACCAATGGCGAGTCATATTCTTTTCCTGCGATTGTTGCAGCAAACAAGTTTGCAAACAACCACTTAATTATGCAAATGAAGAATAAAGAAATGATCCCTTAAACTCGTAGGCAAAATCTTTTGCCAAATAGCCTTTGCAAACTTACAATCCTAGAGCACGTTGTAACCGTCTAAGAGGGTTGTAGACAAGAAGCATAGTAGGAATCCACTGTGATTTTACGATGAAATCTTTTGTGATTAGTAAATAGACGCTATTGCGAAACCAGCCGAGGTCCAACCCATTTCCATACTAAGCTCCAGAGTTTATTCATAGGCAAATACTGTTCTGGTGAGATTAATTCATAAGCTTCCTTAACAAAGAAATTCTCACTGTTACTGCTATTCCAAAGTAACAAAACATTATGATCACAGTTTGTTGGTGGAAGCATAGACCGAAGACTCAACAAAATTGACTGAGGGAGGATACCCACTAGACAAGTGAGATTCCATTGATTATGACATAGTAAATCACGCACAACACAGTGAAGATTCTGAACAGATGCATATGGCAAAATCCAATGCGTAAGGGGACCTATTCCATCAACCCAATTTCAGTCCAGGATTTAACTGCCCTCCCGTTAACCACTACCCATCTCGTACCCTCCACTATGTCACCCCATACTTCACTAGGAGCTTTCCAAAGTAAAGAAAACCATATCACATTTTACCCCGTATGCTTTTCACATAAATTCTTGCATACTCTTGGAGCATATGAGCCCATCTTATCTCTACGGCTATGGTTTAGATTTTTATCTTAAAAATTACAGTCAGCGAAGAGGTAAGAGGCCTTGCGAATCCGGGCAACATTAGGGCCCTCGCCCTGAATCTCATCGGCGGCCTGCAGGATCATGTCGATGCCGGTGGAGCGAGCGAGTGAGGGCATGACCGCCCTGGCGATGCCGCTCCGGGTCCACTCACGGCCGGGACGGCCACTCGCGAGCTGCTACCTCCTCGACGTCGCCTTAACCAGCCTCTCTCGATTGTCGTGAGCCCCTAGCCATGGCTCCCAAAATGCGACAGAAAGGTGAGGCTCGCGTGGGTACTATTGAGAAACGACACTAATCGGGTCCGAATTCGAGTCGTCCACCCGTAGTCGACGTAGAGTTCGGAACTGGAAGCGAGTTCGAAACTGTGTAAAAGTGAAATTCGGGGAGGCGACAAGTAGCGTGAAATGATGAATTCACCGCCAAGGGTGGGGGCTAAAGACCAGGCCAAGGCCGAGTCCCCGGCGGAGGCAGCGGCACTGTTGGAGAAGGAGTCGATGGAGGGGCGTAAGGGGAGAGTGATGGCGGCCATACTTGGTGAAGAAAAGACCCAAAAAAGGAGGAAGATCTCGTTCACTCTCTCTTCTTGTATGGGAAACATTTTCCTTTACTATGAAGATTTCAATGAAATAAATGCACCATAAATAATAGTTGCGATTTTCTCCCCCCTCTATTGATTCATCTAAACGAAATTTTTTACATGTCCATCTCATATAAGATAGTCAAAGTAAATACCATTAAGTCATTGTGGTTTACTCCAGTGGCTACCTTTCCTACTCGGGAAGGGGAGGTGGGGAGTTCGATTCCCCACCTTTTCTGGATAGACACAAAAAAAGAAGAAGTAAATACCAATATGGATTCCATAACAGTTTTTTTCCCTTGACCCATTTTTGGCCGGTCTCTAGTACAGTTTTGAAGCGTAATTTCTCAAAATAATTATACCGTTCATCCACATACTTTCATGCCTTTTCTAATCAAGTCGATACATTTTCCTATTTATCTAATCAGATCGTTTCTACTTCCACAAATTTTCTAATGAAATCCGTCCAATACCAATTCCGACCCATGTTCAACCGACATGATGTCGAGCAACGCCGGAGCATGATGCGAACGAAATTCATCCAAATAGGCACCTGTGTGGACGTCCACATCGGAAACGATTTCAATGAAATAAATGCACCATAAATGATAGTTGCAATTTTCTACCCCTCTATCGATTCATCTAAACGAAATTTTACATATCCATCTCATATAAGATAGTCAAAGTAAATACCATTAAGCCATTGTGGTTTACTTCAGTGGCCACCCTTCCTACTCGGGAAGGGGAGGTGAGAAGTTCAATTTTCCACATTTTCAGGATAGACACAAAAAAAGAAGAAGTAAATACCAATATGGATTCCATAATAGTTTTTTTCCCTTGACCCATTTTTGGCCGGTCTCTAGTATAGTTTTGAAGCGTAATTTCTCAAAATAATTATACTGTTCGTCCACATACTTTCATGCCTTTTCTAATCAAGTCGATACATTTTCCTATTTATCTAATCAGATCGTTTCTACTTCCACAAATTTTCTAATCAAATCCGTCTAGTACCAATTCCGACCCATGTTCAACCGACATGATCGTCGAGCAACGCCGGAGCATGATGCGAACGAAACTCATCCAATATAGAAACTTGCGTGGACGTCCACATCGGGGAAACGATTTCAATGAAATAAATGCACCATAAATGATAGTTGCGATTTTCTCCCCCTCCATTGATTCATCTGAACGAAATTTTACATGATAAGGTAGTCAAAGTAAATACCGATATGTTTTTCTCCTGACCCATTTTTAGCTGGGTTCAACCGACTTTCATCGTCGTTTCAATCGAGTACCGAACACGAATCATATTTGATCTCCAGTATAGTTTTGAAGCATAATTTCTAAGAATAATTAATACCGATTCTGATCCACATTCAGTCGACATGACCGTCGAGCGACGCCGGAGCAGGAGGCCGACAGAATTCAGCCAATATAGGCACCCGGGCGGGACGTCCACATCAGGAGGACAATTTATCCACATCACGCTCCGGCGTCGGCTACACCAACTAGGTTCGGCCGGGATCCGGTGTCGGAGGGATTTGATTAGAAAATCTATGAAACTAGAGGAGCTTTAATGAGGCAAAAGGTCCTTCTTCCTCTTCTTCTTCTTCCTTGAGCAAGCCCTATTTGGGCCTTCTTCTTCTTCCCTCGGCCCATTTGTGCTTCTTCAAAAAAACACTCAGCTCTCTCTCTCTCTCTCTCTCTCACCTCTCCTGTTCTCTCCCTCCCCCCATTTCGTTCGCAGAGAGCTCGAGAGAGATCACACGCCTCCGTCCACCGCCGATGGCCGTCGAGACGGCTCCGTACCAGAACGGCCTCGCCGCCAACGGAGATCTGGGCGGCCGCGCCGGCGCCGCGGCGGCGAGGAAGTCCCGCGAGAGCGAGCGGCGCCGCCGGAGGCGGAAGCAGAAGAAGAGCAACAGGGCCGCTCGCGGGGCCGATGCCTCCGCCGACACCGGTGGGGAGAGCGACGGCGCGGGGGACGAGGGCGGGAAGGAGAACGCCGATCCTCAGCAGGTTACCCGGTTTTCCGCTCTCGTTTCGGCTCCTAGGGTTTTGGATCGTCAATTGCTAGTATCGTCGTATGCTTTTAGGTTGCAGGAGCTGTGGTTTTTTGTTCAATTTTGGGGAATCGGTTTTAGGTTGGCTGCCTGTAATGATTTTCGCAAATATAGGGTGGCTTACGTTTGTGAAGGTGCAGAAGGAGTGCTTTGCTTTCCGGTCGTTGGCAGTGGTGGTTAGGGTGGCTACACGTTGGAAACTTCCGAACGAAAAATAAGAAGTGAATAGTGCTCTTGCCTTGTGGTTGAACTGTTTGAATAAGGTCCTCTAGCTTATTAAGGAAGGACAGTGCTGCAATGGTTTATTGCGATTCGTTCAGGTTAGTTTTACATAGGGGTGAATCGGTTCCCGTTCCGGTCCAGTCTCAACCAGGAACCAGACCAGGAGAACCGCTTCCCAGTTTCTGGAATCGGGGACCGGCCGGTCCGGTCCGGTGGAACTGGTGATTTCACAATTTTTTTTGTTCTTCAAATGTGTTAAACACATTAAATTCCACCACAATTAGCCCTCATACCTTTTTGAAGCTAGAAAAACTACAAATTCTGAGTTTAGTTGTGTGCAGAGCTATGGATTAATGTTTTTGAGTTTAGTTGCGGTAGTACTTGCTGATTTGTGTTGGTGCGTGATATTTAATCATATTTGACAGTTTGAAGTACATGTAAATGGGGTTCCTTAATCGAGTTTTGCACTTAATAATGTCGATGGTTCATGAGTCGGCGGCTGCAGGACTTTGCAAAGCAGCAAAGTTAACCTTCTTGGTGGTCAATGTTCTCATTTTTCTTAAGAAAGTAGGTTTTCCGCCATCCTGAAAGTTTCCACACTCCAGAATAGAGAAAAATGTAAAGGGTTTGCCTAAACTTTTGGCTATTCTTTAAGGGAAAAAAATATATATAATCGGTCTGGTCCGGTCCAGTTCACACCCTGGAACAGGGAACCGGACCGAAAATCACCGGTTGTAATTTTGTGGAACTAGGAACCAGACCGGTGGCCCTTGGAACTGCCCAAAACTGGCCGGTCCGGTCCGGGTGGTTCCCGTTGTACACCCCTATGTTTAACAGGACAAACAGGTTTCTGGTTGAGTTTGAGTTTCTTGTTTTTTTAATTTGAATCTGCTTTATGCTCTTACACTTGAAGAAGAGGAAATAAGTTTTCATCTAGTATAATTTATTACTACTACATCCTATTGGTTCATGGTAATTCTTCATGTTTATTTTATTACGACATGGGATGGCAACAACGGTCAGAGTTCATGATGGTGGTGGATAAGTCTATTCCGACTGTGTGCTTAAAGGAAAATTTTATGGCTGATTGCATAGAGGGCGTGCTATAACTGTTGCTTGGGAGGAAATTTAGCTTAAGTAGATGCTTTAAGTTTTTTTCCTTTTTGTTGATATTTCTTCTTTTTATAATATAGATTGTAGAGAAAGTTGAGGTGGAGTATGTTCCTGAGAAGGCAGAGTTAGATGATGGGTTGGATGATGAGTTCAGAAAGGTCTTTGAGAAATTTAGTTTCCATGAAGCTGTTGGATCTGAGGTAAATGCTCAATTTGTTGGTTGACTGGATACGTTTTGTGTTTGTCTTCGTCATTAACTGGCTTGGTAATTTGGTTTGTAATCTAGGACGACGGTACCAAGGATGAGGATGCTCAAAATGCGACTTTAAAAAAGAAGGATGATTCAGACTCTGAAGAGGAAGAGCAAGATAACCAGCAGAAGGAGAAAGGCGTTTCCAATAAGAAGAAAAAGGTATATCTCAGTGTATTGCCACCGTGACATGATCTTTAACCTAGATATCATGGCTTTTATGATTTCATTTGTTCACAAATGTATTGATGCCATTTTCCAGCTTCAAAGGCGAATGAAAATTGCTGAACTGAAACAGATATGCTCAAGACCTGATGTCGTTGAGGTAAGAATTGATAATCTCCGTGTCTAGACTACTTTTGAAGGAATCTCCGGTGTTTTGATTAGTTGTTAAATGCTAATTTTTGAACTCGAGGACAATTTTGCATACTAAATGCCAATCCATGTGTAGAGATATGCAGTCTATAGATCAAACTTTTTGTTGTGTTCTTCTTAAATGTTTCTTGCCAAAGTACAGAACACTGCTTTTTTGCACTATCTCGTAGCCTTCTATTAGAACATGAAATCTTCTAAAATATGGGGTTTGCATTATAGAATCTTGGAACTTGGGGACATCTTTGCATGCTATATGCTAGTTTATACGTAGGGATATGCCGGGGATGGATTAAAGTTTACATCATCATATCTCGATGTTCCTACCAAAGTACCAAACAATTACTTTTTTCCCCCATCTAGTAGTTCTTATTTTGAGCATAAAATCTTCTAAAAAATCAAAGTTTTACCTGAGTTTTGCCCACCTCTCGCATTCATCTGTTAATGGTAAGCTTTGATTATTTGAAATCTGTATGGCATCCGATCTTGTAGTAGTTATTGCTGATACTTCTGGCTATTTCTAACAAATTGCGTTCTCTCATTACGTGTTACAATTTCCATGGGTTCATACAGTGTGTCACTATTTGCCTCCTTATGGTGGTTGTAATTAATCAGCAGCTTAACTATTATCTTGCTAAATCCTTATTTGCACACTCAGATATGGGATGCTACGGCAGCAGATCCAAAGTTGCTGGTTTTTCTAAAATCATACCGTAATACTGTTCCTGTGCCTCGTCATTGGTGTCAGAAAAGAAAATTTCTGCAGGTTAGTTCTTTTGGAAACTTCACAAACGTGAATGCATGCTTAGTGTACATGTGATGAGGGGTGAAGGGTAGAGGGTGAGGGAAGATATAGTCGACAAGGTCCTTCTTATGTGTATACATCTGGTTCTTGCAGGGGACTGGCTGTGATCATCATGAAGCCTGAACTGGTAGGTAGTGGCCAAGGGGCCTTAGATTTGGTTTCTGTTTGAATATTTCTGCTAGTCTGAGTGGGGATGTAGACAACTGTGGTGTGGTATGTAGTTGTAGCCTTTTAGGCAGTTGTGTGGTATGTAATTTTAGGTAGTTGTGTGGCATTGACTAAAGTGGAGGAGACAATAACCTTTTGCTTACTGGACATGACGGGGTTGTTCATCAAATTGCTAATTCATTTTTCAATTTGAATTTCAGATGCCTTCACATTGTGGTTTAAGCTCGAGTTGAGATTCTTTTATTTATATGTTCACAAGTGAGCATAAAAGACGAATTTTTATACAAATCATTATCATTGTATCTCATCAATCAAATGTTCAATTTACAGGGAAAGCGCGGTATCGAGAAGCAGCCTTTTCAGCTTCCAGATTTTATTGCTGCAACTGGAATTGAAAAAATAAGACAGGTATTCTTTGTTAATTTTCCCAATTTTTAGTGTGGCCATGACATTCTGACTTTAAGGGAAGTTTTGTATCTATTTAGTAGCTGGTGGATGGTATAATTGAAGAGAGATATAATTTCCCTGTTTGTATACTGACAATTGGTAATTGTGACCTCTTTGTACTGTTTTTTTTTTTTTCATATGTTATACCGAGTCAATTACCTTGTTTGACTCCAAACTTGTTTGAGCATTGAGCTTGGCATATTTTAGCATATTGTAACTGATTTGAATGTAATTATGTTACACCATTTGCAATTTTCTTATATCGTACATGGATGTTTTGAGGATATATGACAGAGTCTATTTAAGATGGGTCATTTCACATATAACAAGCGAGGAAATTATTTGGGTTTTCTTTTCTCTAATCTCTATTTTGCTGTATTCCGTCATAATTTTTAATTTTTTTGCCAGTACCCTTTGGTCCTAGGATGTATTCAGCACTATTTATCACTCAAGTCTATTATACTCAAATATGGGATGTTAGATACTCAAAAATCTTGGTCTCAACTTGGTAAAGTGCTTCACAAGCTTGAGCTTGATTTGACTCAACTCCATTATAAACTAAGAAATATCCTAAGCTCGATTTAAGCTTCAACTTGAGTATTATAAGTACAATGAAATCACGAAATGATGTTATACTTAGGGTTTTGTGTTTAAAGCTTTTATTTGACTGTCTGATTATTTTCTAGCTTGACTCTGTTTCTTTCTAATCTTCTGATGACCACGAGATAGAGATGTTAAGTCTTGTTTCATTTATGTAGTTTACTTGACATATTTTCTCTGAAGCGGCATTTGGTTTCGGACAAGCCTTTGTTTGATGACTGAGCTCTCTATCTCTCTCTGTTTCTGTCTGTCTGTCTGTCTCTCTCTCTCTCTCTCTCTCTCTCTCTCTCTCTCTCTCTCTCGTACACATGCTCACCCATTGTGGGTGCACCGCAGCATACACTACTTATGGATTATATTTGCAGTCCCTAATTCTTGTGTTGTGGCTGCAATGCAGGCTTACATTGAGAAAGAAGATAGTAAGAAATTGAAGCAAAAGCAGCGTGAGCGCATGCAGCCGAAGATGGGGAAAATGGATATTGACTATCAGGTTTGCCACTTTTATATAACTTTTTGTTTTTTTGTCTCATATCCCTAATTATGTTGCTTAGCAGCCTGAGTTTTATGGCTGGTATGTGAATTTGGCTTTTGTTGTGAAACTGATTTTCCTCTTATGTAGGTTCTGCATGATGCATTCTTCAAGTACCAGACAAAGCCAAAGCTAACCACCCATGGTGACCTATATTTCGAAGGGAAAGAATTTGAGGTGCGATGTGCCATCTAAAATGTCTCCTTTGTTTACTAGTTGTCTTGTCACGTGGCAAGTCAAAGTAAAATTTGTAGAACTAGCTTTGGATGGAGAAACATGAGTGATAAGCTAATGCACTAACCAGTGCTGAAGTCCTTTTTTTTTTTTTTTTGGGTGGATGGGGTTGGGAGCAACTTATCCTTTTAGAGAGATATGAGTTCGGATTTCCAAGTGTAGATTGCCTTTGGTTGTGCTTCTTTATGCCGGTGTCTTTCTTGGAAGTGTCTGTGCAGCATACTCCTTTACATCCATAATTGGTTTTTTAAAAGGACATACCTATGTTACTGGAATTGGATATTTTCTCAGTGTTTGATCAGTACTGCTGTTGGACTTCTTGTAGTTATCATATAGGATCCTCATTGATTCCTGATAAGTAGGATCACTCGGCAATGTTCCTGAACTGAAGATTTTTCCTATTAATTTTTGGACAGGTGAAACTGAGGGAAATGAAACCTGGGATGTTATCCCATGAGTTGAAAGAGGCCCTTGGCATGCCTGAGGGTGCTCCTCCTCCTTGGCTTATTAATATGCAGGTTGGGTGACGGATAAGTTTCTTGATTAGTAGTGTTAAATCTCTATTTTGTTTTTCGTATCTGTTAGTCTTTCCCCTATCAAACTGACTCCTTTTCCTTCAGAGATATGGCCCTCCACCTTCATATCCACAACTGAAAATTCCTGGACTCAATGCTCCCATTCCACCTGGAGCTAGCTTTGGTTATCACCCTGGTGGCTGGGGCAAGCCCCCTGTTGATGAAGTAAACCTCCTACTTTCTTTGAGTGATCTAGTATAAATTGCATGCCTGAACGCATGTCACTAGTCTCTGACACTATTATTTTTTAACTCAGTTTGGGCGGCCTCTGTATGGTGATGTCTTTGGTGTTCAACAGCAAGAGCAACCTAATTATGAGGTATGTCCCTTGAACTTATTTCACCTATCTGAAGCTGGTGATTGAATTGATGGAATTTGTGTTCATCCTCCCTACCATTTGGTTTCAAAAGTTTGTGTTCACTTATTTTATGATGCATTATGTAACTAGAATTTTTTAACCGTTTCGTGGGATGCTTAATTACTGTAGGAAGAACCCCTCGATAAGACCAAGCATTGGGGTGATTTGGAGGAAGAGGAGGAAGAGGAAGAGGAGGAGGAAGTGGAAGAGGAGATTGAGGAAGAGGAGTTGGAAGCAGGCATTGAATCTGTAGATAGTCTTTCAAGGTACCATGTCATTCATCTGTTCTTTACACGTGGGCAGTTGTGCAGAACTAAGGACTCTTTACATCTGGATATTCCAAGTGGACGGTCAAAAACATGTTGCTATTACTTAGGTTCAAGTTTTTTATTATTCTCATGATTAATATGATTGTTCATCAGCACTCCAACTGGTGTGGAGACACCTGATGTCATCGACCTTCGCAAGCAGCAGAGGAAGGAGGCTGATAGGCCTCTTTACACTGTGAGTTCTTATTTTGCGTTTTATCACTTTCTTGCAGCAAAAATTCAAGTAGTGCACACACATGCTATTTGTCCTCATCCATGTTCTTTGGCTGCAGGTACTTGAGGAGAAGGAAGAGAAGATAGCTCCAGGGACTTTGCTTGGAACATCGCACACGTATGCATTTCTCAGATGTGCTCGTCTGTTATATTATCCTATGATAGTGATTATTGTGGTAATTCCTGCTTTCTGCATGCAGTTATGTGGTGAACACAGGTGGCACCCAGGACAAGGCAGGAGCTAAAAGGGTAAGGCAACACCTTTGCATCAACATTCTTGCTCAATTTACTATGTACACATGATTATGTTTGTTCAGAGTGATGCCTGCTTTATAATGTTCCTTTTGTCCTTTGCCCTAATTGTTGTCTCTGCAATCTGAGTTTCAAAATGTCGATCTTTTGACAGGTTGATTTACTCAGAGGACAAAAAACAGATAAAGTTGACGTCACCCTTCAGCCAGAAGAATTGGAAGCTATGGATAATGTTTTGGCTGCAAAGTAAGTATAATACTTTCAAGTGGGACAACTTAGAAGTTCTTTGTAAGAGGGTTTTAACCAAGTTCGTTCATCAGGTACGAAGAGGCAAGGGAGGAGGAGAAGCTGCGGAGCCAGCGGGAGGATTTCAGCGACATGGTTGCAGAGGTTAGTTTTGCTTCCAGCTTTTTGAGCTTGTTCTGCATGGCTGAGTGTCTTGAACCAATGTTCTTTGGCTGTGAATTACGTTCCTCATGCTATCAAGTCTTTGGCCCGTGATTAGGAAAGTTGAAGTCCATCCTACTCTTAGTTCTAGTGGCAATATGCTCCAGATTATTTGAGCTGAGATTCGACTCCTGTCTCCTCTAGGACGGTCTTAGACAGACTTGCAAAAACAGTCTGACTACTATAGAGCCTTCATGATTATCATTTTCTATCATTACGTTTTCTCAGGCTATGTTGATCTTTTTGCTTATATGAAGTCAAGTTAGATGATTTTTTTTACAGGGTTTCTCTTCTGATAGCCAATACGGTGCCTTTAGTTTTATTCAAGTAGTTGAAATCTCTATACACATTGGTATTTATTAATTCCACTTTTGTTCCTATTATCGTTTTGCTTGCTTATGGATAAAGTGGTCGAGTGGGAAATCATCAGAGTGCTTCTCTACTTTTGGGCCAATCGCTGATTATCCAGTCGTTTTCTATTTGACAGTAGAACAGACTCCATCCCTGAGCTGGCCTTGATTAGTGTGTTGATGTAGATGTATTGAGAGTTCAGAACAAATGTCCTCTTTTACCGTATTTTTCTCGCGTGCCAATTGTATCATTCCTACCTATTGTTTGCCTGATCTTGTTGACCAAGTTCCCTGTTATCTCATGTCCATCGTTTCTGTTCGGCAATCATTCCCTCTTTGCATTTTTGAGTTTTGTCAAGGATCTAACGATGTGATGGATTGACGCAGAACGAGAAAAAGAGGAAACGGAAGGTGCAGGAAAAAGAAGGGAAGTCGAAGAAGAAGGATTTCAAGTTTTAGGTTCTTTCGTCTCGATCCTGTCCCTAGAAGCATTTTATGTCTGGAGCTTTGGAAGGCCTTCTCGTCAATCAACGGGTTCGACGGGTTTAGTACATCTCCGAGTAATTTTTTGTAGCACAGGATCCGACCATGCATAATAACTAAATGCAGTTGGCTTAGCCCGCTAGCTGCGGGGAATCTGTTGAACGATGTCCAAATGCCTGAATTAACAATTTTACCTACTTTAGTCGCCCCTTGTCTGAGCTTATACTCGAGAAAACATGGTACCTCATTTGTGCGCTAATGTATATGCTACAAACCTTTCTCAGTGTTTGTCCTCTTCGTTTGTGGATAGGCTTATGCAATGTTACCGGTTTCGTTCCCGTAATGGATGGGCTCCCGTTGCATGTGGCATATTTGATGTGCTTCCGTGCGGCTTTGTGTTTTGTCAGAATGTGTTTTGTCCATCGGATTAAGTCGGAAATGTTGTTTCGGTGGAAATTTGCAGTTTGGGAAAGAGATCAACGGGTGTTGCTGGTACTTGGCAGACCGTAGAGTTACATTGTTAAAGCTAAAGATCAAGTGTTTGTGTTCTCCGTGTTGCCACAATCTCCTCGATTTGTCCATTGCCATGAAACGTGCTGTGGAAGCCTCTTCATCTTTTGTGCGTCTCTTGAACAACTCCTAACGAGAAAGATGTGGTTGTCGGACCAGACATGGAGGGTGTCATATTACCTGTCTTTTCCGGGAGTCGGTAAGCGTAATTTCGCCACTCGCTTTGCTGCTACTCGTGACAGGTGGGGGCCCATTTATGTCCAACTAACCAACAGGCATCTTCACCCCTCCTCCCTCCCTCTCTCTCTCTCTCTCTCTCTCTCTCTCGAAAAGGATTTTTTTCTAAAGGAAAAAGCCAACAAAAATTTCACATTCAACCTAAAATTTTTCTGTAACATAAAATAGTCCAAATTTGTACCTATGCAAAACATTTACCCCCGTCAATGTTCTATCAGGTGATTTCTCGATCAAAACATCATTTTTATTTTACTTAAGCTAAATGAACGCCATGTTGATACCATTTGCTTTCCAACGTCCGTATAGATGGTTTTTTAACGGTGTTGATCGACAAAATTTTAACGGAGGATAAATGTATTACACATGTGCAAGTTTAAGATTTTTAGTGTAAGAGAAAAATAAGGGTTATGGTAAATGTGTTATAACGGATATAATTTTGGGTTTTTGGTGATTAAATTCGAAAATTGTAAGTCTTATCAACCCAAGCTTGACTCTTTAAAAGGAAAGATAAAAATCAGACAAAACGTGATCCATCTCCCGGAATTTTATTTCCGTTTCCAAGAATTAATCATTCGAGAACAAGATTACTGTGAAAGCACTCCTAACATTGACTCTTACGTCACATAAAGTTACGACACATGATTCGCGAAATTTCTCGGTAGAAATTTCTTCGAGTTGACGTTGAATTCGAGTCCACGTTTGTTGTGATATAGCTATGAAATTGTATATTTTGGTTCGTACCGGCAATGGGTACAAATCACCAAGCAATTCAATTAAAGTAATCACCACTTTGGAAATTTCAAATGCTGGAAAAACTATTATTCTATTGGAAAAATCATTTAAAATATCCACCATGTTAGTTTTTTTTATTGCATTTTATAAATTAGCATACTATTTCTATCATAATTTTGACAAATTATAAAACGGTAAAGATGGTGCCCGAGCCTAGCACGGCCCTTTAAGCTAATAACGACTAAAGAGTTAAAAAGAGTTGTGGCATGAGAATTGTTCTTTCGAGTTTAAATTAGGAAAAATTATCAAAACGGGCCAATTAAATTTAAACATTTTGCATTTATGCTAATTCAGTTCATCTTGCCAATTTTGGCTGGGTAACGTCGTTATAGACGCCAGCCGTTCTACGTGGCACAACTAGCGCTGACGTAGACAATTTTTAATAATTTTTCGAATTTTTATTTTATTTTTCCCTTTTTTATTCTTTTCTTTCCCTTTTTTTTTTCCTCCCGTCATGTTCAATCTCTAGCCAATCGCCGGCCTAACGACCAGCTAGAGGCAAGGGCCGGCCACTGGCCAAGGCGAGCCTCGCCAGTGGTAATTCTTCCTTTAAATTATGAATTTCCATTGTGCCGAGGAAAGAGTTCCCTAGATTGGTCTCGAAGCGTCGCTACATGACGAGGTAAAGTGAGGTGAAATTATCATAGAGCGAAAATCCTACAATCATTCTAGTACACTATCGCACGTTTGACGACTCAGTCAACATCGTCGTCGTGTCACGAACGATGTGCATTCCAATTGATATCTGCGTCATCTCCTGGCGGCTTCTTCGCAATTAAGCAACGTCAACAAAAGTTTTTTTTTTTTTTTTGGTTAAATCAACGTCAACAAAAGTTGGACACCACCTTTTTTTTTTTTTATACTATTTATTATTATATCATGCAACAAGTGCACGATGTTCCTTTTAGATACACTACTGCTATTACTCATGGTTTGACTGGAAACTGTGTATGACCGAACTAAACCATCACCATCGTCAAAATCCAGCGCGAACATATTATTTAGCTCATTCTCGCAAATATTATATATATATATATATATATATATATATATATATTATATCGCATTTTTATTAATTTGTTTACACCTTAAAGAGCAATATCATATAACGAAAATAGAGTTAGGATATACTTTGGAATATGTTTTCAATATTCCAGTTTTAATGATAGTATCGGAATTTTTATCTAAATTCCCTTTTCCCCCTTATAAGTTTTTTCTTGGATAATTCCAAAACTTTTCCATGTGATATCGATCAATACTTGAAACTTTTCTCGTCTCGCCAAGTTCCAAACCTTGTTCCAATAACCCGAAAGTACCTTCCGTTAGACTTCTAGCCAAAACAGCTGTTAAAAATCTGATGTGGTGCTGTCCACGCGTGCTTTTGCATCGGATCTTTAATGGCCATTAACGGACGGAACCACCGCTAAAGGTGCTTTTGCGTCGTGAGGGTATTGGTTAGGCGGAAAACAATTCGAGATATTGGTATCTGAGGAGAAAATTTTGGGATCTTTCGTGAGATTTTTGTCCCTTTGTCCCCCCCTCCGCTGCATCCTATTCCGTGCGACAACATTGACCTTTGAGATTAAGAAAAGAAATGAAGTTGACTAAGGAAGACGGGACGAATCCAAACACGACACGTCCGAGCGAAACCCTCTTCGTTGGCAGAAAACCCTAATGCGACAGCTCGTGGAATTAGTATATTCAATGAAAGAGGCTTCAACAATGGGGGTCTCTTATCCTGGAAAGCAAGCAAGGAATAAAGATTGGGACGAGGGCCAAGACGTGCATGCACGCTAAGGCGCATGAACATCACTGCTTTTAGCCACATTCTTTACTTCTCCGTTACGGCGCAGACATGTATTACCATGCTTTTTTCTTATGGACCCACCTCGCATGACTAATCGTTAAGAGTTAGGTTGATTGACGTCACATCGTAGCTTTCGATTCGTCGAGTTCGTGCGTCTCGTAATTCGAGTTCTGCTTGATGCAAACTGTTTGAAAATCGTTCAGGATACATAGATATCGGCATGCTGGAAGCACGTATATAACATATAATTTTTCATTTGGAATTTTTCAAAAAGTTGGAGCATGTTTTAGTTTGAGATTTAGAAGTAACAAGTGAGAGATAGAAATCAAAAGAAGTTGTCCCGGATGGACCCTTTTGACGTTTTTTTCAAATAGGATTTTATGATGCCTTTCGTGGCCCACGTTTTTGTAGACTTTGATCTTTCTTTGTCATGTATCGTTGGACCTACAAAGAAATTGAATAGGCACTTCTTATGCTTGGAGAAAATTTATGGGTCGAGTATAAGGAGAAACTCTTTGGAGGGTTCTCAAAAGGAAGGGGCCATGTGTTGCCTACAAGCCTACGACAAAAGAATATGTATTATCGGGTGGTCACTTCACCTTGAGCAGGTAGAGAGGAAACGGGAGGATTGTCGAAAAATTTGTGAATTTCTTTATTAATTTATTTTCTTTTCCATTCTTTTTTACTGTTCTTCTCAAGGGCCGGCAGGGGTTACCGAGGCCTTGGCGAGGGCAGCCCTCGCCTAGCCAGATCTGTGTGAGGTGAGGGCCGTCTTGCCAAATTTGTGCCCGGCAAGGGCGTCGCGGCCTTTGCCTATGGCTGGCAACCCCTGCCGGCCCTTTGGGGAAGAAGGACAATAAAATGAAAAGAAAAGAAAAGAATTAAAATATTCATAACAAATTTAAAAGTTTTGAAAAAAATTGCAAAAATTATCCACGTTAGTAATGGCGTCCATGTCATTGATTTCTGGCCAAAATTGGCCAAAAAAAATAAAATTGGCAAATTTGTCAAAAAGTTCTAGACTAAAATGGCCAACTTGAAAAGTTTAGTATTGAATTGGCCTCTGTATTATAGGTTTAGAACTTTTTAGACAATTTTCCCCACAAAAAGACTTGCTCATAACCATAGGGTTAATCCAAGGTTCTTCTAAGTCCTCATCTATATTAATAATGGACTTGATGACATGTTCAAGATGATGCTCTGCGAATGAAGGCAAATTCTATAGGCTACGGGTTAAACATTAACATGTGCGCAAAATGAGCGGAGGCGGTACGAGAATGTTTCGCTAGGCTCGCGAGCACATGAGAAAAGACGTGATTAGAAATTAATCTGTCCGAGAAACGAGTGTTACTTTGATCGAGAATAGTGGTATTTAGAGATTATGGAGGATTTGATAAAGAATCGAGCAAAATAGCGTAACAGGATTCATACAGCCGACCGCGCTTAGCTGGCAACATTTGTTGTACATTTTACCAAATTTAGAATCACAACCAGATGGATTAGTGACAAAGAATTCATGTGTAGTACTGCCAATTTTGGCACTAGCACTGAATCATTGATTATTCTCCAACCTCCCCAACAAGAGTCATATCGATCATATATGTGCTTTGACTGCACCATCGACGACACTGGCTTACTGGTTAATCTGTACGTTGTGCATGCGCAAATGTTGACCAGTTTTCCTTAATTAAAACAACTCAAATTGACATTAAGTTGAATTTTCTTTCTTTTTTCTTGTTCATTGTTTTAGATTAAAAAGACGTTAGGCATGCTATTCCGAAAAAACCTTCTTGGCCCACCTATGAGAATCGTAACTCAGTCTAGGGTTTTGTTAGAAAATTAGAGCCGCTCTCGACGCATCTAACCTTCTATAACTACCTACAATTAATCACATGTCGCTACGGAATGGTGAATACGACCACGATTATTACCTTGGT